GATGGCTTGAGGGTTTTTAATGTTGGTGACAAGTACATCAAGAAGGACGTGTTCATGATTAACTATTTGACCCTTGGGAAGGGAGGGCTCCCCAGGGTCTTTTGCTTTTTTTTTTCACAAAGAAATTTTGGGTTTCCTAATTTAGTAATTTTTAATGATGTGAGTATGTTTGGGAAAGAGTTTTTTGTTTTGTAATTATTTATTTATAAATTAATTTAATAATTTATAAGATAATTTATAATTTTTACAGATAGTAATTAATAATAATCATTATTTAGTAGACTTGTACAATAGTTTGTGAAACATTATTTCAATTTTCTGCTATACAAGAATAAATTCGATCAACACTTTATAACAACTAAATTTAAACTTTTGATTTATAATGCCACTTAATCAACTATTACTACCACATATTATTAGAACTGAAGAAAAAATCAATAAGTCTAATGTAAAACTTTCTGTAAAGTATGTATTGAAAAGTTAGGAGAAGAAGAAGGATGTAAAAAATGGTTTCCAAACAAGCAAGATCGAATAATACAACACTTTAAAAAATGTCCTAATTTTCTTTCTAAGACAAGTATTGAATAACAAACAATAATCTTTAAGCTTAACGATAATAACAAGAGAATACTTAATAGTTTATTTAGATTATTATAATAATATTAATGATATAATTATTTTTATTTAGATTATTATAATAATATTAATGATATAATTATTTTATAATTAATCTGTTTTTATTATAGATTCTTCAGAATATGCGATGTCTATTTGTACTTTCTCTTTATTAACAAATTCTTCACGCAAAGTTATAATCCAATCCTCATCATATGGACCTATGGATAATTATATTGTTAGACCTTTATCCAAAGAAGATAAAAAAAGTTTGATACATTATTACTTCGACTTATAGTTTCTTGTGGATGGGCATTATCATAGGTGAACAATTCGGAAGCCAAAGAATTGTTTAATTTTTTAAATCCTTTTTTTAAATTACCTGATCATCGTACTCTTAGTGATCAAATTTTAAAACAAACTATAGCTGAATTTGACAAAACGATAGAAATTGCACTTAAAGATGATTCAGTAGGTGTAACTTTATGTTTTGATGGATAGACTAATGTACAAAAAGAACAGCTATTAGGAACTGTATTAATAACATCTGATGAAAAACCATATATCTGAAAAGCAGTTGATATTGGAGCAGAATGGGAAACATATGTTAAGGTGATAGCCAAAACTGAAAATATGCTTAATGAACTAAAGACAAAAAATATTACTGTATGTGCGGTTGTTACTAATAGTGCAGCAACATATGCAGCAGTTCGGTATGTTAATTATTTATTAACTTTTTTATTTTATTCAAAAGATTCTAATTAATTATTTATTTATTTTAATAAGTCATCATTTAAGATTATCCAACAAACAAATTATATTTTTACCATGTTTTGCACACCAGATTAATCTGTGTGTAGATAAAATTTTTAAAGAATTAATTGAATTTAAGAATAGTATCAATGATGCTATTCGTCTCGTAACCTATTTTAAGAATGCAAACAATAGATTTTTTATTACATGTTTACGTGATCTTTAATATAAGATCTATAAAAAACATGTTACATTAGTAATGCCAGGAGAAACTCGATGGAACAGTTTTTATTCAATGTGTGATAGCATTTTAAAAACACAAAAAGCATTGCAAGTAAGTATTTTTAATAATATTTTAAATATATAATCTGTGTTTGTTATTTACATTTTTTTTATAGATATTAGCTGTCAAATATGAACCACCACTTTTAGAAAATCGTCACAAACCAGGAAGTAATCTTACATTACCCAGAGAAATATTTGAAATTATTATGTCTGATATCTTTTGGGATCAACTTGTACATATTGTTAAAATCCTTGAGCCTTATTGCAAACTGCTTAATATCTTATAGTGTGATAAAGCACGATTATTTCAAGTAGTGTATAGTTTAAGTTATCTTCTTCAATTTTGATAAAAATCTTCATATAGTATACTTGTGACACAATTAATTACTCGATTGGAATGATGTTGGAAAGGATGGAAACAACCAATTCTCTTATTGTCTTGTTTATTACATCCTGAATATCAAATGAAAAAATTTAATAATACATGCTCCAAGATCAACTATTTAGAGTTTGGAAAATGGCTTATGTATTACTATCGGACATGGTCAGGAAAGAAACCAATATGTATTCTTTGTAAATTTGATGATTTTTGGCTAGAAAAATATCCATTTGATTATGATACATATAAACAGTTTAATGGGGATGTTTGGCACTATTGAAGTTATATAAATGTTTCAACAAATGAACTGGATTTTGTGGCCTGTAGAATTTTTGGAATATGTGTAAATGCAGCTTCTGTTGAATGGCTTTGGAGTTGTATGGGTTTTTTACAAAACAATCGACGCAATCGGTTAATGGTATGTTGTTGATTATATTTGTATTTTTATTATTTTTCTTAATACAATTTTGTATATTACTATTACACAGTCATCGAAAACACTTGAAATGAGTCGATTAAGAGCTGATATTATATATAACCATCGTCTTTATTCCAATTCTTCAATGGTGACAATTACATCAGATGAATTATCATCTACTACTATACTAGATAAAAATATAGAATTATTTAACACTAACGATCAAAATAATGATTTTGACAATTTAAACAATGCAGACACTAAAGAAATGAACAATGTGAAAGAAAAGGATTTAGATTATAAAGCAGATAATAAAATAATGAATGAAGACTCTGGTGATGAAACTGAATTGCAGATGGGTTTCTTGGAAAATGACTTCCATGAATATCTTCAAGGTTGGACAGACATGTTAGAGGAGAAAAGCAAGGAACTTTTAAAGAAGGAGATGAGTCATACGAAGACAAAATTACATTATTAGATCATATATGCCATTCTGCAGTTGATGTGAATGCTAAATGGAAATTGAAAACGCTTTTCAAGAAAAATCTTCCTTTACCTTTTTAGTATATACTAGTAAAATTTTGAATACAACTGACTTTTAACTACAATATATTCGTTTCAGCACAGGCATGCAACACAATATCATCCTGTTGTTGTGATCTGTGGAGAAAATTAAGATGGAAAATTGGGAAGTTTAGTGATGGAAATTTCTAGTAAACATTTAAATAATAGGCGCATGTATAAATATATGTGTATTTAGAAAAGAGATGTTTATAGTTAGTTTAGAGCACATTAAGTAATAACTAATAAAGTAACATTTTAGAAATAAACTTTTACCTTGTTTTTCAGTGCGCCATAAATACTTGTGACTTGTTTTACACAACTAGACAATAGAACCGAGGTTTTGTCTAAGGAAATTGATATAGGAAAGGTTCTAGGTTAGTTGATAAAAAAAGTTAAAGACCGGCTAAATCAAGAACACACCTCAAGAGTTAGAGAAACTTATCTTATGTGAGCCAAACGTAAAAATCAGCAGTATGGGCTTGCCAGATAGCTCACGACATTTGGTGATGAATCGTAAGATTTGAATATCAACATATCCGAAGACAATGTTCATTACCTCCCCCTCGATAAAATTTCACAAATACAATTAATTAATTGACTAATTAGAAAAATGACATCATTTCCAAACAGACTTACCTTACCTTTTTGAGTCGCCCATGACAAACCCGTGCCAAACGTGTGATCAGATCCTTTTTTTTTAAAAAAAAATGGTTAGACTTTGATTTGCGTAACAACAAAAGTAATTCTGATGGTCACCAAACTTACCGTTGTCTGCAGAATGTGCTATGGGAACTAGCAGAAGTTCTCGTTGATCTTGCAGACCCAAATGCAGGAATAATGAAGAGAAAGCACGACGACTAGGATCTGCAAGTTTAAGGAAGAAAGAGGGAAAGTCCATACGAGTAATCAAAAACAGAGATGGGTATTAATTATCTGGAGGGATGTGTGATGGACTGATACAAAGTCTGCCAAGATCGCTTCAGCTATTGAAACAATAGAAGCAACTATAGGAAAGCTTTGTGCCAACCTTCCTTTGATGCTTTGTGATGCTTGAGCAGTGACGGCAGTGGCTGTCAGAGCTTATGAAACTTAAGCAAGGCAATATGCCTGACGATTTCAGAATCTGCTAAGAAGAGTTGACCCTGATGATATCAACCCTAAAAGGGATGAGGTGAAAGCATTTATAGGAGGGTTGAAGAGTACATGGGGTTTGGGCTGTGCAGAACAAACACAAAACCAACGAAGGGACTGAACAAGCCCATATCAACGAAGGAACAAGGTAAGGTTGCACCAAAAGGAGAACCGACGACACCACCTAACAGGAGCCACAAGAAAATCAATATTATGGATAAGCCAACCAGTGAGCCTGAGTTCACCACTACTGTCTGTTTGGTCGTCCCCATCCCAAACCACGTCACAAATGCATCATGATCAAAGGAATCGCTACCATCAACAGGAAGCAAAGATATCCCAAGCATTATCATGGTTAGAGAAACCATCGTTACTGACGGAAGAGATCAAGAGGGAAATAGGGGAAAGACCTATAGGTAAAGGGACGAAGGTGAAACAGAACAATGACATGCTGAGGGAGACGAACAAACTATCTGATGGAAAACTGGGGAGAGTGAGCAGTAAACCTGAGCCCACCGTTACTGTCCGATCGGTTGTCCCGAACCGCACCACAGACAAACATATCATGACTGAAGGAATCACTATTACCAACAGGAAACAAAAGTGAGACAATAGTAAGGGAACAATATGTCGTTATAATGATGACAACAAATAAAGAAAAACCACAAAAGAGATCCATGAAGATATCACGATACACTACCGGCATTAGTGATGTTACTCCAATCAAACGAGACAAGTACAAAGTTGATCAAGGTGTGGGGAGCCGATCATAAAAAGAATAACATGCATGAACATAAGAAATATGTTTGGTGATAACAAATCATATGACTTATCTAGGATGCATCAACAACTCATAAGTGTACTTTGTCACGATCTTGTGATAAAGCTCGATGTCGACATTTTATCTGAGAAAAAGATCAGGGAAATCAGAGTCTCCTGTCTATCACATAACCATACTGCACTGATGAAACTCCGCCAACTGATACCCTGCCATCACTAATGATCGCAAAATATACCAACCAAATGTTGAGGAATCAGATCCAAAGTTCAGTCTAAATGTTATGGGTAAAATCGGCACAGGCATGCGACACGATATCATGTTATGTTGTGATCTGTGGAGGAAATTAAGATGGAAATTGGTGTGGGAAAGTTGGTGGTGGAAATTTCTAGAGTAGCATAGTATGATAATGTAAAATGTGTAAATAATAGACGCATGTATAAATATATGCGCCATTCAGTAGCATGTAGAAGAGAGAAGTTTAGAATTATTTTAGAGTGCATTAAGTAATAAACAATAAAGTAATGTTTTAGAAATAAACACTTACTTGTTTTCTAATGCGCTATAAATACTTGTATTACGCGACTAGACAATAGAACTGAGGTTTTGTCTAAGGGAATTGGCAGAGAAAGAATTTTAGATTAGTCGATAAAAAAAATTAAAGACCGGCTAAATCGAGAACATGCCTCAAGAGTTAGAGAAACCTATCTTATTTTGAGCCAACATAATAACCAGCAGTGTGGACTTGTCAGATAACCCACGACAATATGCATTACCGTATGTCACGGTATATAGTATACACCGCAATGTATGGTATTTTAATTATTACTGAAACAATGGTATATAGTAAACATGTGACTACATCATTTTGTCTGGGACTAAAAAATGATTGGACATGGATATGGACAGTCCTGTCCCGGATTGTCCAGGTCCTGTGTCCATGTCCGTGACATCTCTGCCTATGGGTCCATAGTGTAGTGGTTAACACTCCACAGGTCAGATCACAAGATATCAATTCAACTCCAGGTGAAGGCGGTTGAACTGAATTAAGAATGGTATCTGGGGCCATAACCTGTTAAGCCCTGTTTCCTATAATAAGTCATTCGCATGCTGATTCAGTGAGACGTTGGGATTGTAATCTCCAAGAAAAGTGCGCAGCAGGACGATCGTCCGGAAGTGGTACGATGATCATCCGACAGAAGCCAAGAACCAATCATACATTTGAATGTACAGACTGGGCTGTGCTCCATCTTAACTAATCCGAGCGAGAAATTCCATTCTGCTAACTTCCGAATAAGGCAACTTTGAAGAAGCACACTGAATCGACACTAACGTCTTGTGTACATAGACCTCTGATGGCTTACCGTATCTGTAGGAGTTGTGCCCTGCTTGGCATTCGTGCTCCTAGATTTGGCAGCTAATGCCAACTGGCCCCTCTGAATATGTCTACTAGAAGACAGGGACCTTGAAAATGGAGTGGTTGATAGCCATCCATCTGGCCTGTATGTGTCCTTGCGGAGTCGCGCCCCAATTGGTCAAAAAGGACCCCTAGGTTTGGTAGTAGGTGACCAACCAGAGGATAAAATAGGTTTGGAGCATTCACTAGGAAGTGCAGACTCATGTGAAGTCCTTCTGTTACATTAGCTGCATAAGCGAAAAGATATGTAGTGATAAATTACTTATAGAGGATAGTTGGTAGTATTCCATTGTTCCCACACAAAAATTGGATCGGTAGGTTAGGTGGTTTAAACTAGTGATAGGAATTCCTTTCCTAGATAGATTCCTCGAAGATGTGAAAAAATACTTCAAGAGTGTCAGATTAGCATTAACAGGCAAAAATAGTTAATAAGCTAGCATTAAGCTGTAATGTAACAGTTATAGAAGATATTTGATGTATTGTATAGATATGTTTAGTATCAATAAAGACTTGCATCTAATGTCGTTCAACTTTAAAAAAAAAAACATTGAAATTTAATTAATACAAACAGTAAATAATATATCTTATTTATATTTAAAACTTTTAATCAATATATACTGTAAATTGTTGTATTAATAGATACAAAAAATACAATAATAAATAAAAATTTATTACAATCTAAAGAATAAGCAAAAATTCTGCAAGTATACAAATTTTCAAACAAACTTTAGAATTTTAAATCAAAAAATATAAGTAAATCAATTTGTGAAATCCTTTAAAATAATTTAAAAATAGATGAAAAAATGAAAAAAATTTTGAAAATCTTGAAAAAAGTTTAAAAACATATTTAGAATTATTAAATTCAAAAAATAATAATAATCTTCAAGATGTTTTAAACATTATATATAATTAAAAAAGAATAAGACTTCAAAAATATTTGAAGTAATTCAAAAATTTATACAAAAATAAATTGATTTATACTATAATACTTAAGAAAAAATGTACAGAACAAAATTTTACTCTAATTTAATTAAACCAAAAAATCTCTAGAGTAATATGAAAATTCAAAAATTTCTAATTTTTAAAAAATCTATAAGATTTTCAAGATCTATTTACAATGTCTGCTAATATAACACTTGGTCAGATACTAAGTAATTCAAAGCAACAAAGAAATTTGACTGCTGTATTAAAGAGATCCTATTTGAAACAAAAATATTTTTTTATTAAATACTCAAATAAATTATTTCAATTTTTGTAAAACATTAAAAGTTAATATTTTATTTTATACTACTCCAAAGATCTTTGAATTATTTTATTATTAAATTTTTTGAAGTTTTTTAAAAATTTTCAAAATATTACTCTGAAAATTTGCAAAATTTTTTTTAAAAACAGAAATCTCTAAAGTTTTTTTGCAAAAAATTTTTCTGATAATCTTTTATATTAACAATTGCTTCTACAAGATACAAACCAAATGTGTCTATTTAGGTTATGATTTTCTTTTTAATAACCAGATATGACTTTAACAATAATAAAGAAATATTGACTTAGGCTATCAGATTATAGATATAACTTTCTAGTATTTTACTTT